CCTCACTCCTGACCCACAGTACCCCACATCCCACCAGTGTGTGGGGACCCTCTCCACCCCGGCTCCAGACACCGCACACATGCACCCAGTCCCCTACACTTTGACTAATAACACCCCACTCCCACGCACACACTTCAAAAATAGCATCTCATGATTTACATGCCAATTTCTTGATTTTTTAAGAGTTTGTCTCATGATTTTTGACTCAGTGGGGTTAACAATACTGCCCAGGTCAGAGTAGGGGTGAAGCTGGAGCCATGGAGAGGTGGCAGGTGGAGGTGGTCACAAACAGCTGCTGTAGCTGCAACTCTGACTTTGGGTCAGAGCCCAAGTCTGCCCCCCTACCCTAGCTTGTACTCAAATCCAAAACTAGCCCCCACCGTTAAATGTGTGAAAAAGAACCTCATTTTGGATTCAAGGAAATAAGTTATTACTTTTACAAAGGCACAACTGTTTTCCCAATCTCAGCTCTAGGAGGCCAGAAGTCTATGCTGTATGTAGTATCTGCTTTCTGAATACCCCCTACTTCGTAGAAAAACTTTTATCGTCTAATATTGACCTTACACTTGTGGCTCCTTAGTTTTACAATGGAAATATTCCTAGCTAGCTTAGCTGTCATTTATTCCTGGTCAGAGTCTACAGTGACTGTACAAGGAAGTCTCAGAGTACTGTTTCCAATAACCAGGGGGTCTTTGAAAGCTGAGTAAACAATGTACAGTTTTTCTATTAAGCCTGAATCTTTTAAGTTATACACACCCATGGGTAACGTCTTCCTATTACATACCTTCTGGTGTCAATAAGAGGCTACGCTACGTTCTCTAAAATGTATTTAATAGAATTGCACTGTTTTATTCCTACAGTATTGAAATGTGCCATTAAAAGTCTGTAAAGGAGTAAAAGAGAGAATATTCTTTCTGTAGCCTGTGACCATGGTAGCCTGGCTGCACATGTCTTTGAGCATTTTTACAGGTGTAAGCGCCGCAGCGCTGTGTGCTTTGGAAAGTGCCTGGTGTTGCAATGCCTGCAGTTGTACATGTGGTGAAATGCGCATCAGAGCTGAGAAAATGGCAGTGGCGCGCTTTTGAACTAAAACACACTGGAGGTGCTTTAGTTCAAAAGTGCACTGCCGCCATTTTCTGTGCACTGATACATTTCGTCACTTATACAACTGTGTGCAGCGCAGTTGAATATTAATCAAGTCTGCTCTGAAGCGGTGGATCTTCAGTGCGTCGCAGGATGAAAAAGTAGGTGTATAAAGGCCCTGTGATCCCAGAAGCCAAGCAGTTGTGTGCCTGGCCAACATTCATGTGGGAAATGACGTTCTGTTGAACGTAGAAACCAAGCAGTTTTTGTTGACCACAGAAAATAGACAGATGAAAAGACTTCATTCAGTAACTTTTTTTTTTTTTTTTAATTAATCCATTCGGAAAATTCTGAAGCAAGGTCAGAGTTACCTATCAAATCCTGCAGAATGGTTAAAGAGAGAGAAAAGCTTTTCATAAGGGTACTTTCAGTACCGCAAAACCATGCAAATTAAACCTAAAGTTGTAAAGAGAGAACTACTTTGACTTCTAGATCGCACACATCTTTCTCACAGTACAGATGGGATCTACACCAACTCCATTTTCTGATCATGTGTTTCCACTCTTAATTTTTATGACTAATTCTGAAGCAACAAAACAGTTCACAGATCCTTAAGACATTTAAGTTTTCTTCTTTTGTTCTGCACTGCTATCCTGGGCAGTAACAGCGTACATAATTCAGAGATGTCACGTTAAGCACCCCAGAGTCCTTAAATGGCGGAATACAGCAGACTCACTTAATTGTATTTTCTGCTTAAATTATCAACCGACCAAAAAATATCCCACAGTCCCTTCCCTCTCCCCTCCCATTAAATGTTTCGGTTTTTAAAAAATGTATCTAATAAATCTGCACATGGCCAACAGGCTATGGTGAGCTAATTCTAATGACATAAACTGCCCTTTTAAAATAAAGCTCTCAAGAAGTTATTTTATTTAAAATACAGATGGGATAAAAATACAAGTGCAGAGAATCTTATGAAGTGGATTGTGAAAAATGATAATGCGAGGCTAATGCAAGGTTATCATCTGCTGATGACACTGAAATGGATGGGTGAGCCCAAATGATATTCTGACAAAGAATGACGCACTACATCCTGTAACCACCAGGCCACAGATTTTAAAATGCTGAACATGTGACAGGATTTGTTCCTGCTTATTCTGGGGGAAAGAAAGAAGATAGTGGGACTGGAAAGAAACATTTCTGCCCATGTTAGGAGAAAATGAAAGTGTTTTTATAAAATTTCACACATACCAAACACTTCCATAGTATGTGCCACGTAGAAACAAGTATTGTTACCTGTCAGCTCTGTGCTCGTATGGGAGCCCTGGCACCCAGCTTGCTGGACTTACAAACGACTTTTTCCATCTCTCCCCCCTCCCCTCCCCTCCCCTCATCTAACCAGAACTAAGCAGAAGGAAAGTTTAATAGGCATCGCGGGCCATACATTCCCAGTATGGCAGGCCTATTTAAAACATGATTGACTAAAACTCGGTTGCCGGGTTAGGGAATGCTGAAGCAAGAGACCGAGTCAGAGGAGGTACAGGCAACATTTGAACAATGGTTAGGGGTTCATCACAATGTCCAGCCCATTGGAGCCCTGACCGCAAATGCTGTCATACTTTTCCTGGGATGACTGGTGGAAGTCCTCCCCACAAAGTTTATGAACACTCCAAGTAATCAATCAACTTGCATTAAACTACTACAGTAAGATCTGAAAGTCATGCTAGGCCATCTGAGAAGCAAGCATAGCTAGGCCATCTGAGAAGCCCTTCCAGTATATCTTCTATATTCATAATAATTTCAAGATGGCTCCTAGGTGCCTGGTTACTCCTTAAAACTTGATGTTTTTCCTGGTTGTTAATCAGTTCCTTGAGATGTTCCAAACCAGATAACCCCTTGTCACTGGAAAAGGTAATTCATTCAAATTGAAACTGTTTATATAATAGGATTTTCCCTGTCAATTACGGCTTGGGACCCTCTTGATTCACACAATTTAATCCAGCCTCTTCAAAGCATTCTTTTAAGCTACAAGAAAGCTGTAAAACAGCAAACAATGTGCTTCAAGAGGGAGAAATCTCTCTGATGCCATCCACTGTTGTTCTCGAGAAGCTGGGGTAAACAGATAGTCTCTTCTGGTTGCCTGTTTAACCTTCAATGATTGTGCTAGGAACTTTGCCTGTCAACAAACCACCCTACTGCCTTGGAATGGTGAGATCCCAGCTCTTGCTCTTTTTCTCCCTCTTTTTCTCTCTATGCATAGCTTTCTGAACCTGAATTTTATTAGTTAAGCTTAAGCTAGGTTCCCCTAAATACTCAACTGAACCAGGGTAACGCAATTGTTTTTCTTTGTTTTCCCTCGCATGTCTATTACTACTAGTACCATCATAAATTTCATAAAGTTAGCAATCAATAACTTTTACAGTCAAACTGGTGGTAACCAGGTGTATTTTTCCTTCTCTACTTC